AAAAAAAAAAAAAAAAAAAAGGGGGAGGTGAGGTGGGAAAAAATATATATACATAACTCATAAATTTTTAAATGCATAGATGAATGTACAAACTAAAGGAATTTTCTGCGAGCTGGAAACAAAGAGCACTTCAGCTAACGTAAGCTAACCTGCAGCTAAGCGTGCGGCAGAAAGAAACTGGTAGTTTTAGTAATCAAGGCATTTAAATTTCAGCTTGCTGAGTTCAAAGCAAAATCCATGCATAAAAGTGGACCCTTGAAGGTTAGATAAGAGAAGGGATAAGATACTGAAGCACCTCTGCTGTGGACTGGGCTCTAGGGGTTTATGGGAGTAGGAGAGGAGAAATCTTTCCTGAAAGCTCATGACCACAATCCCAAGTGGGTAATAGGGTTTGAATTTACACTACCTGAATGTTGCTGAGAAATTAATATATTTAGTAGCACAGTCCTAATAAAAATTATTAAAAAATTAAAAAATAAATTAATATAAAAAAAAACTAGCACAAGCCTAGGAAAACCTCTGGAGCATTTCACAGAAGCAAATAACCGCTGAAGGGACATGTCAATCCATTCTATAATGAATTCTGACAGAAAAACAAGCCTTGCTGAAGTTGACTTCATAATCTAAAACTGCTCTCCTCAACATACACAAGATCACATAGACCACAAATTACTTGTAAAGAAGAAAAAATATGAATATTTGAAAAAGAAGCAAATAAAATGTACAGACATACAAAAATGTATCACTGAAATTAAAGACAGTCTAAGAGCAGATTTAGACCCAGTTGGTCAGGTGCGGTGGCTCATGCCTGTAAACCCCAGCACTTTGGGAGGCCAAGGTGGGAGGATCACCTGAGGTCAGGAGTTCAAGACAAGCCTGGCCAACATGGTGAAACCCCGTCCCTACTAAAAATACAAAAAATTGGCCAGGTCTAGTGGTGGCCACCTGTAATACCAACTACTCAGGAGGCTGAGGCAGGAGAGTCACTTGAACCTAAGAGGCGGAGGTTGCAGTGAGCAGAGATGACACCGCTGAACTCCAACCTGGGCAACAAGAGTGAAACTCCATCTCAAAAAAATAAAAGACTTAGACCCAGCTAAAGAGAAATAGGATGGGCATAGTGGCTCACGCCTGTAATCCCAGCACTTTAGGATGCCTGGGTGAGAGGATCAAGGCAATGTAGTGAGACCATGTCTCTACAAAAAATAAAAAATTAGCTGGGTGTGGTGCTACACACCTGTAGTCCCAGATACTCAGGAGACTGAAGTGGGAGAGTCACCTGAGCCCAGGAGATTGAAGCTGCAGGTGAGCTGTGACTGTGTTACTGTACTCCAGCCTGGGTGACAGAGTGAGACTCTGTTCCAAAAAAAAGAGAAAAAGAAAAATTACCTATCAAGAAATGATAATTAGGATGACAGTGGACCCCAAAAGCAATGATAAAAAATAATGGAAATGGCCAGGCGCCATGGCCCATGCCTATAATTCCAGCACTTTGGGAAGCTGAGGTGAACATCTGAGGTCAGGAGTTTGAGACCAAAATGGCCAACATGGTGAAACCCTGTCTCTACTAAAAACAAAAAATTAGACAGGGGAGGTGGCGTGCACCTGTAGTCCCAGCTACTCAGGAAGCTGAGGCAGGAGAATTGCTTGAACCCGTGAGGCAGAGATTGCGCCACTGCACTCCAGCCTGGGCAACAAAGTGAGACTCCCATCACAAAAAA